TTACATAGGAATAAAAATTTGATAACCCAAACTAGACATATAATTTCACATTTTATTTTTAGTGGGACTTTGACTTATTTTAGTGGGTCTACAACCTAATTTAGTGTCTTAGACCTACTTTAGTAGGTCGACAACCTAATTTAGTTGCTGTTAGATCCTAAAATAATTTATAGATTTAATTCCTTAACCGTTAAATCGATTCCTTACCCGATTGAAGCTCAATTCTTGACCGACTTCAATAATTTGCACCTCAATATCTAAATCATCACATGAACCTTATATTATTCTATTGTGATAATGTTATTTTATGCCTCATGTCTCAAATATGTTAGGGACATAATTAGGGTTAACGGTAACCTTGATCCATCGAGTTAAAAGCTTGTAACTTTACCGATAATAATTTCAACACTTTCAAGATTACAATTGTTTAATATATCAATATCCAATATCTAGATTAACCTAAATTTCTACCATAACTCCATGTAAGATTCACCACCTAGGTAGGGAGGTCAAAAACTAACACCATATATAGATCTTAAAATCTTAATGATCAAGTGAACCAGAATAAGATAAAGCAATTTCAAACCAGTGATGGAAATGCAATGTCAATGTAACTAGCAAGCAATGTATGAATTACATTGGCCAAGTGTGTAAAGTGAAGTTTGGGGTGTTACAATTAAAGTGTGTGTCAAGTTCCTTTGTCTCGAATGATTTATCTTGAATGCTCAACTTTCATCATTTCCTTCATTATAAGTTCGATTTGTAATGTGAAGATCTTGATATCGACCTTTTTGTCCTTGATTGATCAATATTTCGCAGGATGCTTTAAAGGCTTAAGATCAATTGTTAGAAACAAATAAAAAACTAATTTGTTTGTTATGATCAAAACATTAAGGATATAGTTAACCACATATCAACAATTTTTTCCCTTTTAATTATGACAAATAAGATGATTTCCAGAGTTATATTGAAAATTGATAAGAATTATAAATCTTAAATCTTACATATAATTCATGCATTTCTCATTTCTTTTACAAACCAATAAACATTTAAAAAGAAATCATATAATCATCTATCTTTCCCCCTTTTGGCATAAGCAGGAAGTTAGCATAGTGTGATCAAAAGTAAAATCAACCATGGGAAAAAGGAGTATTCCTTTTATTTTGATACAAAATGATAAGTTAAACAAAAAAGAGTTCTCTACATGAAGTATGTTCCAAATAATTCTAAAAATGAACAGAATGAAAAATAACATCTAGATATCTAAGGCTTGGAGGAGGCTATGGATGGTGTGGTGTGTCGAATTAGGTGTAAAAGTCATTGAGTTGAGCTTGCATAAAATCCTATCGAGCGAGTATAGGCTAGCCCGTCGACAGATGATGTGAGTGAGTCGATGAGACCGCTGAGGAAAATGTAATGATTCTCAGTAAATGTAAAACCATCGATAGGAGAAGGAGCACTAGAGCCTGATCATAGTGAACGTGTGGTACATCATCATCATAGTGGTCCTCATCTTCGTCGAAAGGTAGAGTAGAAGGACCTAAAGTGATTGGAAAGTTTAATTTCTACAACTAGAAAGGAGTCAAGAAAGAAAAGGTCAAAATTGTTTACTTCATCCCGATGACTCTTTCGGGAAAGAATGACATGTGTAATAATACTTTGCCAAACTTTACATGGAAGGTTTAGTTGATTGGCTCTAAGTTTGGTGATATTTCATACGTTTTCCCAGTAATTGTACGGCATGCCACAGTAGGATTGTATTCATCTAAAGCCGGATGAGCTTTGTGAAGAAAATTTAGTTATCACATTCCTCGAGTTCAATAATATCTTGTCATTCTACAAAGCAATGGTTGGTTTATCTGTCAATGTTGGACGACATGTGATGTTGTCGTGTAAGGCTTCTTTGTTAGTCGACGACATGTTTTTGCTCGCTGTACATATTTGTAGGGCAAATTTGATAAGTTGTAAAAGAGATTGACAATGGAGTCAATGTTGTCATGAACAAGATTGGAAGCAAAATTCACGAGGAAAACCAAGTTGTATGTGATCCATAGGGCATTAGAGCTAAGGGGTGCGAAAAGTGACTAAAGTCATCAAAGGAAAAGCTATTTTCAATGGTGGTAGACAATGCCATTTATGTGGTGGTAATGGTGAAGAAAAAAGAAACATGTTAGAATTTGCAAAACAAGTAATTATTGAAATTTTTGTTCATTATTAATATGTTATGCAACTCATTTAACATTATTACCATTTTCTCAAGTCGAATTTGATGGACATTTCATATCATACCCATTTCAAACACAAGCTCGACGATGTTAGAGAAGATGTGCCATATAAAGTATTGCCAGTAGCAATTAAGACGTCAAAAACAGGTTTTTCTATTCGTAATTTCATTTGTATTTTAATATAAGTTGTGACAGATGATGCATATTAATATTTTGTTATGTAATAACATTAATAACTTTATTTATTTTTTTTATCTTTGTAAATTGTGTACGAGTTATTAACAATTCAATGACAGTGCAAAATTAATAATACATGTGAGATTTTACAAGTAAATATTATAGGTAATTGTTACATGAAATTTTCAAAGAGAAATATTACATGAATTCAACCATAAACACCTAAATACACTATACATTAAATGGAAAATAAATGACAGGCTCATATATATAAATTTCATTCATTGGACGATAACAAATTAACACCGCTATGGTTGCAAAATACTTGTTGCACGAGCAATAGAGAAACATGTCTCCTACTGCCATGTCGTCCTAGTTGCCACGCCAAAATATGGGTCGAAACTTAACGTTATCCAAATCACATTTTCATGAGATAATCATCACAGCCTCTTCATTTACCATAGAAAAATCAAATAGAACTAATCTCCATTTGCCCACACCGACACAGCCTCTTCACCATCATCATCGCCCTCGTACAAATCACCATCATCATAGCCCAAGCCCTAATTCCATAAGAATCTATCCAAATCGTAAACCATTACCGTAAACTACAATAACAATAACATCAATCAGACTTATTCTGATCTAGACATCACAGCAACGGCCCAACTACATTTAGCACATGAAAAACATAAAAAAGCACATGCAGTAAGATATAGACATATAGAGTCTGCAAACAGTTGCAAGGAAAGAGGACGATGACCATGATGGTAGCAAAGAAAAAGGGATAGAGGGATAGGGAAAAGGGACCATTGTAATATTACCATAAGATATGCATATTTTAGTGACGAGGAGGATATGAGTGAAGTCAAGATACGAAGAGGGAGGGGGTGAAGGCCGATAATAGCGAGCGTGGGAAACGGAGTAGTACCCATCTAAGGGAAAATGAGAAACATAGCTGGGGAGAAATGGGTAGGGACGGGTAGAGAAAAATGGGGATTAAATTGGTAAGTTATAGGGTTTTGGGGAGAAGAGAAAGGGGGTGAGGAAAATGGGAATGGGATAAAGGGGTGGCGTGGGGTGGGGAAACGAAAACATAGGCAAAAAAAAAAAAAATGCCATTGCTTAGGTGGCATTACCACATCAACGGTGGGTAGAGATTATCCTGCCTTTTGGGGGCAAGATATCAGTTATGAATAATATAATAGTATTTCATGGAATCTTTTATATTTATTTGGCATATATTTTTTTTTTCCCATTAGAAATTCGTAATTGGTCCTACTCTGGACTAGAGAGAAAATTAGGACCTGTATAAATTACTATTTATTTATTATTTAATCATCAATTCACATCTTGACACGATGACTTCGAAACTTAATTTCGAACAAATTGTTTGGCTATTTGTTTTTCAAGTTTCAAAATGTATTTTAAGAATCTACACAAGCTCTTGGTATCATAACTGTTAACTATCAAATTAAATTCTATGCATCCATCAATCAAAGAGAAGAATGAATGATAAATTATTTAGATTGTAATAGAATCGGTCCGATTTTTAAAATGTCTTTCTTGATATTCCTCAGTGTCATTAATGCTATCCATTATTACTAGATATTATCAACGATCTAGGTGGCAGTTGACTCCTTGATTTATTATCTAATAGAGTTTCAATTCACTTCAATGCATTGAATCCTAAATCAAGTTGATCAACTTTCGCCTAGATGGATGATAATATGTATTAATGATGAAAATACTACAATACTGCTGTTCAGTACTAGTTTATGTGGCATTATAAAATAGATTCAATTAAAGGTGAAATTATTTAATTCATTAAAATGAACTTTTAATGTAATGTCAATAATGTTGCAACCTAGACTGGTGACATACTAAATAGCATTACTCAAAACATTATTATATCCACTATTGTTTGAAGGAGCATCATATCTACCTAACAATATTTGTATAGATGGCTACAAATACAAATATATGGATGACAGTCGTTCATATAAAAAAAGCGAGACATTTTATTTCTCCTAACCTCAAGATAACTTGCAAACGAAGTATTCCCCAAATAACTATGTTGATAAACTCATTACAAAACTTGTAAAAATGATCGCAAGAGACAAAATATTGTATGTAAGCTGTCCTTTTGGTCACCAGTTTACGACCTATTTGTGGTGTTGAAAATTCTCATTTAGTGAAAAATCATAATTTGTGTGTGTTTAATTTGTAGCATCCCAAAATTTTATAGAAAGAATTATTTTGTTATAACAATTTTGAACTAGATGCCTTTTAATAATTTTGAAAAGTTGAGGGACTAAAGTGAAATAAGTATAAATTAAATTTTTAATTGGATCAAAAAATTAAATATTGATAGAGCGAGAATTAATATATTAATATTGAGCTTGTTTTGTAGTTTGTATTAAATTATGCACCATGAATTCGAGAAAAAGTTAATTCAGATAAATTAGGCCAAAGATTTTAAAGTTTAAAGAGTTGCCATTAAGGGAAAATTAGCTCAAACCCTACATATAAACTATACGATTCAAAATTAAGGTGATATAATTTTAATTTTATTGATCTGGTGATAATAGAGATTAATTAAAATAATTAATATAGAATTAATTAGGGAAATATATAATCAAATCTTTTTACGCATCCCCACTGTTATTATCTATTTAACTCTTCAAACTTTGCCGACCACTACACCATGAAGGCCAGCCACCACCACCACCATTTCTCACCACCTACCCTGGCGAAATCACCTCCCAAACATAACTCCACCTTCGATTGGTCTCCCAATTATAATTCCACAGACGAAGGCCATAAATCCATAAACAATGAATACAGTGGCTTGAATATTGTCAAGCTTCTGAGCATTGACGTTAGGGTTGGTTTGGCAATGGCGCCGCACACCTGCAATTGAATCCAATGAGACCCAGGCATTTTCAACTATTAGCACACCTGTTAACCACCATTGAAATCGACCTCCATCTTTGTCGTCTTCAACACACCCAAATTTTGTTTTGGCCACAATTAAAGTTTACTTTGAAACAAGTTCTGCAATTCAAAGCTTTATAACCCGTAAAAATGAAAATGATGTTGATGCATGGACGTGTTTCTAATCCAATGAGGAAGAAGAATGTAAACCCGGCTATACTAATTAAATTTGTTATTTAATACATTATAATGTCAGATGCAATTTACGGGTACGTTTGGGTATGATGTGAATGGGTGATTGTGACCTAATTTTTGTTGATTGTGGCCTTGTTCTTCATAATTATGACCTATTCTGAAACAGCCCGTCCCGAATCACCTTAATGGATCCGACACGTGTCGTGCACCGATGATAGATACCAACAAGTGTCGGACCCACCACCAAGGGAACATTTTCTAACATAAGCTACATGTAACCCAAGAAACAGGTACTACCTAATATGATAAAGTAGGCCATACAACTAATGACGTGTGGCTCAATTTAGTGGATAGACAAGCTCCAATATTGCTCAACTCGACTGCTATCTGATAAAGAAAAATGTGAAAAGAAATATGAGCTTACAGCTCAATGAGTGGATAATTTGCAAATAAGCATACTTTTTTCTTTTATGCTTATATTCTAAAAATTCTAACTCTATTAAAACTTTGAGAAATTCTGAAATCTGGTAACACTTTTAAAACTAAACATAGTTTCATCATAAAATTCTTTGTTCTTAATTCTAGATAAGTAACGTTAAAGTATAATGACATAAATAATCTGATATCCATGAAAATCTATGAAATATTGCTGCTGCTCAATACTATAAGCTGAAAGCTTTATTCTGAAAACTTTATTAATTGAATTCTATAATCTGACATATGATAAATTGTAGAAATACTGAAAAATCAAACAAAAATGGTATCCGAAATAACCTTACTCATGTATTAGTTAGTATATGTAATACGAATGGTACATACTATTGAAATGATTTCATTGAACTGAATTTAACTAAAAACAACTAATTATAAATCCACTTTATTCTAAAAATCATGCTGTCAAATCAATTGTATAAAATAATAAATTTTCTAATCTAACATAAATTTAATAAATATTAATTTCTGAAAAATAAGTTTTATATCCATTCACAAATCTATGAACAGAAATCTGGCTAAATTAACGAGTATTTTCAAGCTTTCACATCACTACCTAAAATAACGATATAATTACTCAAATTAAACCTGACAATTAAATTAATACAAATCCACAACTTAACTTCTCAACTTCTATATTTATTCTTAAATCTTTAATTCTCCAACTTTTCGTCTCTTTAATAATTTATCAACTAATCACCATTCATTATCAAATCCATTAAATCACTCGCACTTCCTTAAAATCACTACCTTATTCATATACAACTGCTATACCAAATTTAGTCCAATATATAAACTTCAATATTTGTCATATAACTTCATTCAAACCTTTAAAAATATGAAAATAAGAGCTTTGACAAAAATCACACTAAAATCCCGTAATAAAAATCTGGCACCAATTTCTATATTAAAATTTGGTATCAAAACTTTGACATAAATATCGCTATTCTGGGCACACTTTCAAAAACAGCACCTTAGTAGGATTTTGTTCAAAAATGACTTATATTAATTACTTAAAAATGGAGAAATGAACCCCAAATCCTTAATTTAAGTGCTTGACATCATATAATCCCAAAAAGATCAAAGAATAAATATCCATTTCATAAACCCATTTACAAAGTTCCACTTTCTTCAACTTCAATATTCAAATAAACTTATTTCTTTGCTATATTTCTATTTATAACATCAAATACATATTAATAATACCTAATTCTGGCTAAGTTTTGAATTGAAACAAAATTTCCATAAACCCTAAGAAAATTTAATATAAAATGATTGTTCTTACCTCTCTAAATGAAATGAGAAATTGAAGAAATGAAGCACCAAGCTTGGAAATCTAATTCCTTCTTTTCCTCATCCTCTTTCTTTCTTTCTTTCTTCCCTTCTCTTGGTCTCTATCGGTCTTTCTCGACTTTTGCCCCCCAATAATGAGAAAAATGGACGTTTATCTCTTAAGTTAATGGATATTGGATATTTGCAAGTCAAGTCCCCCAATCTTCATAGAATAGCACATTTAGTCTTCACATCTTCAAAAATAGAAACCAAATCCCTAGATCGCTATATTACACAATTTCTAGCCCTTGAACATTTATAATTACAATTTAAGTCCCATGATATTTGTTCCATTTAATTCCTCATTTGGACCAATTATTTCTCTTGACCTTGACTAAAAATGTGAGGTGTAACATATTCTCTATTAGCCATGTTTGAATTTGGGATTAATCCCAAAATTAGAGCTTCTATTTTTACGCTTCATTTTGGAGTTTTTAACTGTTGAGCTTTAGAATTTTTTGATATTCATAGGGTTTAAGAATGTAGAGAACACAATTTGAGTCGGTATTTTCCGACAATTGAGGGGATTTTGGGGACAGCTATTCATGAACTGTGCATTGTGCACAAGCAAGGTGCTGATATTCTCCCAATCCATCGTTTAATGAGTTCTAATTTTTTTCTTGCTGTATTTTTAATTTTCTTAAAGATTAATTGTGGGAACTCCATGACCAAGAAAAAGAATGTAAGAAATTGCAAATTTTGGGTTTGATTTATTATTACTTATACAAAGTTCTTTCTTGCTTTTGAAGAAAAATTAAATTCTGGGCAATTTTACATTTGATATAACTTTGCCATGGATTACAGTTTCAACCATCAGCACACTAAATTTCAAAGCATCGAAAACTTCTTGTTGGGTAGTAATTGTCAAGAGTAATCTTTTAGAAGTAGATGATGTGTTATAAGTGAAATTTATGTAAATAGGTAATTTCAACTTTCGGCTCAAAGATACTAATATGGTGATACTTGTAGGGCTGGGCAAATTTCCCGAACCGAACCGACCGAACCGAACCGAATCGAACCCGACGATTCTTGTCAAATTAAATACCCGAACGGTATCTGAATTGAGAATCGACGGGTACGGTTCGGTTCTCGGTTCTAGACCAAGAACCGAAAAACCAAATAAGAACCGAATATTTCTAATTTTTTTTATATTGAGTAAATCAAATTATTTTAATTTTAATTTTTTCTAAACAAATTAACAAATTAACGATTTCTAAATTCAAATTTTTGGCCAAATAATTTGTTTCATTTCTAATTTTTTAATTTTTGGCCCAATTACCCATTTTATTGTTTCATTTCTTAGCCAAGCAAGATCAAATCCACTAAATAACCCTAAACACCAACACTAAAGTGCATAACGTTGTCTTGACTCTCCCACTCACTCTCGCAGCCTCGCTAATATTTCAAAACCTATACAATCATCGACTGACACTATGACCTCCGATCGAAGCTGTGACATTCGCCAACCGAAACTTTGATCGTAGCGATCATTTGAACAAGGTAGTTTACCAGTCTCTGACATTCCAAAACCATTGAATGTATCATTAGTTGTATTTATATAATGTTGTTATAAATGTTAAAAATTTTAATTATAGTACAGAACCGAACGGACCCGAACGGTTTCATAAATATATTTGGACCCGACGGTTCCATTTACTAGATACCCGAAAAGTTCGGTTCGGTTCGGTTCTCTTTAGAACCGAACCGAACCGACCCGCGCCCATCCCTAGATACTTGTTTTGATTCATGGGATTCTAAACTCTAGTGGGTACGGTGGTGTTGCATTGCAAGTGTTGGTGGATTTTTGGTGAAGGTAAAGTTTGGTGGTAGTTTATTGAGGTGGTGGTGGATTGCGGGCTCTGTAGGTGATGGTCATGGTGGTGGTGTGGTAGTAGTGAGGTCATAACAGTGTTTGCTGATGGTGGTGGGATGTGATGAAAAGCAATTGTGACTAATTATTGATAATTTTGACCAATAAAATGAGTAACATGTGTCCAATAAATAGTATGACCTAACAATATGCGATTTTGTGACTAAATTTATTGTTATGGCCTAAAATTTGTGTATTTGTGACAAATAAATAAATTATGACAAATTAATTCGATAATTTATGATCTATAAATAAACTGTGACAAATTAATTTGATAAGTTGTGACCAACAAATAACTTATGATATATAAAAACTTGTAATGTGAGATTAAATTTATAATTATGACATACAAATCGCGTCTTTATGATTGTGACATTGTGTGGGTTGTGACTAGTATGTAATTGTGATTATTGGTTGTTATATATATGTAGATGAATATTTTAACCTTTTCAATACTAGAATATTGTTTGTTACGTTAATGTGGTGGATGATATCTGTTTATTATAATTGCTATTTAATTTAGGTTATTTTTTTTGTAAAATAAAATTTGTGATAATAGACCATAATTAGACAATAGGTCACATTCAACACATTATTGGTCACAACAGATCCAATTAACAACACACTTAGTCACAAAGGGTCAAAGTTATCATATAATTGGTCACTAACTTTTAAATGTAAACATGTTTGTCACAAACATTCATTGGTAATAGATGTGATTACATGTCACTGCTAATACGGATTTGGTAACATACAGTCACAGTTAAGACAAATCTGGTAATAAATAGTAAATATATTTTGTCACAAATTCACTATTAACAAATGTGGTTATACATATCATTGTTAAAACAGACTTGATCACATACAATCTAGTTAAGACAGGTCAAATAACAGACAGTCACAATAAAGATTGACTTGGTTATAGAAAACATAGGCTTGGTCACAAATAATAAAAATTTACACAAGATGATCAGAGATAATCACATTTATTGTAAAAATGGTAAGACGATTTCTTTGCCTAATTATGTTTACAAAAACACTTTGAGTAAATTTAATCAACACTCATTGAATTTTAAAATCGTTACTACTTGCTCACTCATCTTTAATGGATTAACTAATGCCCACTCATCTTTCCACATAATAGTTACTCATCCATCACCCTTTAATTAATCGTTTCAAATTGTGGATGGAAAATCATGTGACAAATGGCAATCCTAAGTGGCATGTTGATGACGTTAACCATGTCCATGTCAACAAAACTCACCAACCAAACACAATATGCCCTTCATCAATTGAAAATAAATATGTATATTTTTTTATCGATAAATAAGTTTGACCAATTAATTTGATAACTTGTGAATGTGAAATAATTTGTGACTAATTAATTTAATAATGTGTCACCAAGAAATAATTTGTAACCAATTAATTTGATAATGTGTGATCGTAAAATAAGTTATAACTCATAAAATTTGTGATTTATCATCGAGAAATAAGTTCTAAACTACAAAATAATGCGTTGATTAGTATAAGTTGTAGTTAGACAATAATATGTTAGAATGAACGCATTACAGGTCAAAATATTCACAGAGAAAAATAGATCTGATCACAAACAGAAGAGTCACGGTTAACACATAAAAGGTCGCAAGTAATCAAAATTAACATAAAATTTGTCACACAAAGTTACTGTTCACGTATTAGATCAAAAAACGCTATTAACACATGCATAATCACACAGTTACAATCAAGATGGTGTTAATCACATATAGTCAAAGTTAAGATAAACCAGGTCACAGATGGTCAAATTTAAGAAAGACCTAGTCACATATGGTTAAATCTAAGAGATACCTATTCACAAACAATCAAGTTAAGATAAAACTGATCACAAATGGTCACGTTAGAGACAAACTTGATCAATTCTCTATGCCATAGCTCCTAATCAAGTGTAACAAGCACATTGAGCAGAAGGTTCCCAAAGTGCTTATGTAGCATAGTGTGACGTGGGATACAATTAAGGTTGTTACATATAGGAACTCGTCAAACAATGTTTCAGTACCTATCAAAAGCAAATAATAAAATATTATCATGCCTATTGATTCAACGCAATAACCAGGAAAAAAAACACAAGTAAAGTCAACAAGTGGCATTACCATTAGAGTAAAATTCATAAACATAAATCCAAATTAACCTTAAGTAATTAATCTCGGGAAATTTGCCCTAAATTAACTAGTTCAAAGGAAAAGGTAATACACTAGGTAATGTAACCATTTCCATCAGAATTCCTCAAAGTTAACGTAATCATCTCCATCAGAATCAATAGATTTAATCATCCCAAGGCAATCACGTCCGATGCATCGCTCATCGAGGCGCATGAAGATCTTGTGGAGCTCGATGGATAAGGATAAATCCATTATGATCCTAGTCGTAGAGATCCAACGCCTCTTTAAGCTCATTCTCATCAACGAAAGATGGGTAGGGGTTTGTCTCAGTGTTCGTGCAAAACTTGCAAGCTTATGGGATCGTTCACAAGTAATAGATTTGATGAGTTGAGAGCATCGTCCTATGAGGAATAACATTTAATAAAATGTACTAGTGTTGAATCAGATTCAAAGTGAACAAACAAAAGTGATTTGTGATTTTTAATTAATCTAACTTAATGTACGAAAGCTTGTAAAATGCGAATTTAATGTGTATAGGATGATTGTATTGGACTACGAATCCATCTGCTATTATCTATTCAAATTCTCAATTATCTAAAATTAGATATATCATATTCATACCCGAATCTATTCCTTATCCGAATTCGAATGAATAACATGCATTCAATTTCACAATTATCTCAAATATTGCACGTGATAAATATTATTCCTAAAATTTATTGCAAGTGTGTTAATCAAGCAGTTTTCTAAATTTATTGTGAGCCTCCCAACGCTACAACAATTAACCGTACATTCAATTGGTGATTAAACAAACGAATAATAAAATTAGGCATGTAAGATTAATCAAGAATTGTAAGAATTTAACTAAACTACTTATCTTGAATTAAAAATAAATAATAAACGAGTTCATCTACATCCAATATATGAGAAGAATTAGCCTACCATAGTTTTAGAATTAAACGCATAAAAGTCGAAACATATCACAAATAATCAACGGAATGTGATTTATTTCCAAGCACAATGTTTGACTCTCAAAAAGGATTTCCAATTAGTAG